CCTTGCCCGTGGTTGCACGTCAGCCCGGGATGTCCCTCTGCCTCCCCAGCAGAGAGTTCTCCTGGTCGGAGAGGAACGTCTCTCTGAAGCACATCATGCAGCACATCGAGGCGGCCCCCAACATCACCCACTACGCGCTCATCGGCATGCGCAAGTGGTCCAGCAAGGCCGGCGGCCACGCGGTGCGCGAGCCCTTCTCCCGCTGCCACGTCCACGACTTCATCGTCCTGAACGTGGACCTGACCCAGAACGTGCAGTACAACCAGAACCGGTGAGCGCCTGCCCCGCTGCTGCCCAGGTCCACCCACAGGCCCCAGCCCCCAGCCTCTAGCCCTCCTCCGTCCTCCCTCCTCCCTCCTCCGTCCTCCCTCCTGGAGGGGCAGCCTAGGCCTGGCCGATAGCCGCTTCTCCGCTGCCCTGTAGGCCACGGAGCCAGAGGCCTCCCGCCCCTAGCACCAGCCTGGCCCCTGCTGTCAGCTTTAACATTTTCCTTTTTTTTCTCAAATGTATTTTTATTGATTTCAGAGAGGAAGCTTGTGGCGAGGAGATTTGCATATGACCATTCAGCTTCCTCTGTGGATTCACACGCACTTTCCTTAGTGACACGCCGTGTGCTGTGTGTGTCCTTCCTCTGGCTGTTTGGCTTCCTCTCGGTCACAGCTCTCAGGAGCCTTAGCACCGAAGGAAGCGGTGACGTCTTTCCCTGACGTGGCTTCCACGTGTCCAGCCACAGGGGCGCTCAGCGGAGCCCAGTCGCCGACGCCCTGGCCCAGTCACCGCGTGGAGTGTCCCTGGGCCAGGCAGTGGGCACACACCTGAGGTGCCCGTGTAGGAGGGAGTTTGGGGCCAGCCCGCCCTGCGAGGGGTCTGGGTTCTGCCACTTGCCGGCTTGGCATGAGCCTTGTTTTCCTCAGCTGAAAAAGTGGCTGTTTTTTTTTGTTGGGGGAGGTTTGTTCTTTTCAAGAAACCGATGGAAGGGTTTTGCATGTCCTCACAGCGGGCCTGTGCGTCGCAGGTGGCGGTCCTTCTGTAGTGTTTGCCCGCGGGACGCCCGTCGTTCCTGTGCCGACTCATCACAGCCGGGCCGGCTCCCTGTTCGCTGCCCTCTGCCCTCCGGGAGGGGGGTCCGCAGGGAGGGCTAAGCCTGCCCCTCCCTGTCGCCCCGGTGCCAGGCACACATGCCACAGCCTGGGAACGTGAGGGCCCCCCAGTGCGACCTGTCCCCTCCTCTGGCTCCGAGCAGGTTCCTGTGTGACGACGTGGACTTCAACCTGCGGGTGCACAGCGCCGGCCTCCTGCTGTGCCGCTTCAACCGCTTCAGCGTCATGAAGAAGCAGATCGCGGTGGGCGGGCACCGGTCCTTCCACATCACCGCCAAGGTGCGTGCTGGGGCCGGGGGCCGTGGGCGTGGGCCGGGCGGGCCGTGTGCTTTGAAAACCAGTTTTTCCTTTCATTCCCTCAGGAGCGTTCTTTAACTATCAGGTGTTTTATCTTTATTCCTTTTTTGAGCAGAGTCTTACTTTTTCCCCTTGAGGTTTAATGGGGCCTTGATTATGGAGAGGAAAGCTAGTCGTGCTTTGTAACATGTCACTGGAATGAAATACTTGTTCTCATGGTTTATTTCAGTGATGGCGAACCTTTTGAGCTCAGCGTGTCAGCATTTTGAAAAACCCTAACTTAACTCTGGTGCTGTGTCACATACAGAAATTTTTTGATCTTTGCAACCATAGTAAAACAAAGACTTATATTTTTGATATTTATTTTATATATTTAAATGCCATTTAACAAAGAAAAACCAACCAAAAAAATGAGTTCTAGTGTCACCTTTGACACGCGTGTCATAGGTTCGCCATCACTGGACTAGAGTATGTTCCAGCAAGTGGTAAAAGAAAGTAGAACAGTGATGGCGAACCTTTTGAGCTGGCGTGTCAGCATTTTGAAAAACCCTAACTTAACTCTGGTGCCGTGTCACATATAGAAATTTTTTGATCTTTGCAACCATAGTAAAACAAAGACTTATATTTTTGATATTTATTTTCTATATTTAAATGCCATCTAACAAAGAAAAATCAACCAAAAAAATGAGTTCGCGTGTCATCTCCGACACATGTGTCATAGGTTCGCCATCACTGGTTTATTCATTCAGTGTTGGCGGGGCGCCCAGTCCCTCCCTCGGGAGCAGGTCGCCTTGAGCCGAGAGGGGTGTTAAATCAATATGGGGTGAAGTGCCGAGGTGATGAGCGCCCCGGGGCGACGCCTGGGTCACGGGGAGACCTCTCCTTGCCGGCGGTGGGGGTGGCATCTGTGTGCGTGTCCCTGGGGCGGGACGTTAAGGCGGAGACCTGGAGGATGAGAGAGCTGTGTGTGTCCCGCCTCCGGGAGAGCCCGGGTGACGAGGCCGAGAGGGAGGAGCAAGGAGGTCGGCATGGAGGAAGCGCAAAGGCCAGAGGGGAGCGTGGCAGAGATTTGTGACCCAACCATAAAATTATTTTCGTTGCTACTTCATAACTGTAATGTTGCTACTGTTATGAATCGTAATGTAAGTCTCTGATATGCAGGATGGTCTTAGGCGACCCCTGTGAAAGGGTCGTTCGACCGCCAAAGGGGTTGCGACCCACAGGTTGAGAACCGCTGCCCAGACGCCTCTGTAGGGGCAGTGACAGCTCATTGACAGGGTCCAGCAGCGGGCCCGATGGTTTTCTTCCTGTCCCCGGCCACTCGGGCAGGAAGGACATGCTGGCGAGGGAGGAAGAGGTGGTGGGCTCGACGGGGCAGTCGGGAGGAGGGCAGTGGGGGTGTCTGGGACCTGGGGGTCCGGGGAGGCTGGCCGTGCCCCGAGGTTTGCATCCCTGGATTTGGAAGAACGTCCCCAAGTCCCGGGGATTCTCTGTATTTTTTCCTCGACCAGACAGCCAGTGTCCTACGTGGAAAGGTCGATGTCTGCGATTTTTACTGATCGAGTCGATCAGTTGTCACCTGCCCCCTTTGGGGAAAACCTGATGCTTCTTAACAGAGAACTTTAATGTCC